ACATACATACATACATACATACATACATACATACATACATACATACATACATACATACATACATACATACATACATACATACATACATACATACATACATACATACATACATACATACATACATACATACATACATACATACATACATACATACATACATACATACATACATACATACATACATACATACATACATACATACATACATACATACATACATACATACATACATGTGCACTGTGCGTGTGACTCTCCCATCCTCCTGTCGATCCACGCCTACCTGCTCCCTGGCCTGCGCCTCCTCCTCGGGGCTTATAGCCGCCACATCCCCCAGCTCCGCCTCCAGCGCACCCGCCTCCGCAGATAGGCACAGCTCATCCAACGCCGACACGAGACCGAGACTGGCAGCCACATACATGCCCTAGAAGCGAAAAACGGACAACAGCAACAACAACAAAAAGGCACGCGGAGAGCTTATGTTGGCCAGGAAAAGGAAGTTTGTGGGGAAGGGGAAGGGCGCGGAGATGGCGCGTGTGAGGGTGAAGAGTAGGTAGGTAGGTAGGTTGGGGTTACTGGGCACATTCCGCAAAACCCTAAACCCCGCATAAAAAGCACCGCAAGCCCGGCATCATACCCCTCACAACCCCCCATCGGCCCGTGGGCCGATCCTACCCCCCCCCCCCGATTCCCCACCCTCGCCGAGCTCCCCTCACCTCATCCTTGAGCACCAGCCGTGCCAGTACCCTCTGTAGCTGCATCAGCGCCAACACGTGGCAGTGCAGCCCCCGGGCCCGCAGACAGGAGCTCAGCAGGTCCAGGTAGGACATGGTCAGCTCAGTTTGGGGAAGCAGCTCGCGGGACAGGGCGCCGACGGAGCCACGACCCGCGTCGGCGTGTAGGGATGCGAACAGCTCGGGAGTCAGCTGCGGGGTTTCAGGGGAAAGGGGGGGAAAGAGAGGAAGGGAGGAGGTGGGATTTCTGTAAGTGTCTATCGGTGTGTATGTGTGTGTGGGGGGGATTGTTGGGTAGGGGTTGTTGGACGGAGGATGGAGTTTAGGTTGGAGGTAGCGCGCGGGGAAGGCAGTTGACGAAAAGGGCTGGCGCGTGGTCTCTGTGTCTGTCTGTATGTGTTTGTGTCTGTAAATCCGTGTGTAAATCCGTGAGGGGGTGAGATCTCAGGTATCTAACACATCACCACTCAAGACATGCAGAGCTACGTGCGCGCTCCGAAACCCACCTGCCATGTGCCCCATCCCACCAACGTGTCCGGCAGTACGGCATGTGGTTTCGGGAGTTCCCGTTCTGGGGGCGGCTCCCGGCCTTGAGCCGCAGCTGCCGCCAGCTCCGCATGGTAGGCATCTCGTGCGGTCACGTAGCGGGTGTGAGCGGCGGAGTGGAGGGCCTGCGGGCGAGTAGAGAGACGGAGAGGAAGGGGAACTTTCCTTGGTCGGCAAGGAAACCCAAAGAATGAACTGCCGATAAAAAAAGGGAAAGGAGGAGGCTGCAGATGGATGTGAGATGGCCGTGCGGCGAAGCCAGGTTAATTTAACAATCTCTCCTGTCCCCCAATCTTAGGAGGAGGAAAAAGGTACGGATATGAAGGAGGTTAAAAATTGTACGGAATTGTAGGTTTTAACCTTGCATCATGTTGTCACCAAAACAAAACCACCATACCTGCGTCAGCAGTCTCATGAAGTTATGGTGGGCGGCTAGCATGTAGTCGTACTGGTCGGTGGCGGAGGAGGCGGCCTGGGGGTCGGAAGGAAAGGTGGTCATGCAAGGTGGGGGTCACCGGGTTCACCGCGGGCAAGGGGGCGAAGTCGGGAGCAGTGGCAGGTGGTGGCTGCCGCCGCCTGACCCGGACGTGGCAGGGGAGAGAAAAGACGAACCACGAACCACGAGTGAAGCTGATGCCAAGGAGGATAAGACAGCTACGCCAGAAATAGTTAGACTTATATGCGGACGCGGGGGAGTCGGGGAGGTGACAGATGGCCTTGCATGAGCCGGTGTACATAGGCCCTGAAGGAAATGTCAATAAGGCCGTAAGGCCCTGAAGGAAATGTCAACAAGGAAGTGTCCACCAGCGACACCAGCGCAAGACACGCCGCATTACGTACCGTCTTTGCAGAGGTACACGGACACGCATACACGCACACACGCGCATACATACATACACACATACACGTATATGCACCCTGTTCCGTCTCCCTTTCCCGTCAACACCGCGCTACAGCTGTCTGCCCGCCATAACCCCAGCACGTACAAGCACCCCCCACCCCACCCCACCCCACCCCACCCCACCCCACCCCACCAGCATGGGTATTTCGATTGAGTTACATACCGTGGCAAGGGCTATTCCCCACTCGCCAGTTCCCGCTGGCGGCTCACATTTCCTCCAAACAACCCCCCTCCCTCCTCCCCCCCCACCATCATACCTGGCACGCCATCACGTAAATTCGCGCCAGCCGCTCCAGATGCGTACTGCCCAGCTCCTCAGGGACCCGGTTAGGGTCCGGAGGGGCGCTGGCACCGCCGCCGCCGCCGCCGCCCCCGCCTCCACCGCCGCCGCCGCCGTCCTCCGTCAGCCTTCCCCCGTCCATGGAGGGCGCCCGGCTGAAGCTGCGACTAAGCACCCGGCGGAAGGAGTTGCCACGGCCGCCGCCGGTGTTGTTGGTCTTGTGGAGGTCGTTCTCGTCCTCGTCGGAGCCGTCATTGTCCACTGATGGCGACGAGTTGTCATGTTCATGGGGAGGTTCATGGGGGGGTGAGGGGAGCTTGGGTCTTGCGGTGGCCTTTCCACATGCGGCAAGAGCAAAGAAAGTCGCCCTTCCTGTCCTATCCTACCTGTGCGCTCCGTCATGACTGCAAGTCCCTCCCTCCCTCCCTCCCTCCACATCATGACATCACGGCAATTGGCGCACAAGCCGCCTTCCCCTCCCTCCCACTTCAATCTTTTACTTCCAGGTCGACGACTCCTTCTTCGCTCCCTCCCTCCCTCCCTTACCCCAATCTCACGAGGCCAGACAACGATGACACCAACGATGACACCAAGCTTTACTTCCGGAGCCACGAGTTGATGATTTCATCGCTTGGGATTCACGTGGGGCAGTTTCGGACTTTGGACGCCGGCAATTCATTTCTGGTTTCCTCGCATACGATTCATCCCTGCCTCCCTCCCTCCCTCCCTCCCTCCCCGCTTCCCACTCTTACAGTTCCCTGTGTCGTACTCCAGCAGTGCATCGGCCGCCGCCAGCAGGACTTCCTCCGCCGCCTCCTTGTCGTCGCTGCTGCTCAGAAGCCACTCCGCGTAGCTGCCAAGTAGGGGGTACGGGCAACCCCAATCCGGGGGTAAACACCAGGTTGGTGGGGCAGGGTGGGGCAGGGTGGCGAGGGTGGCGGATTCGGGGTGGGAGGTTGGGTGGGTTAGGGGGGAAGGCGACACGCAGAGACCGGACTGGGGCCAGGATGGGTGCATGGGGGGTTGAAGGGAAGGAAAGCTAGGGCTCAGACAGGTCTTGGGTTACAGCGAACCGACACCCAGCAGCAGGCTTTGCGGGGCGCTGTGGAGGAGGGGAGCAGAGCGGAAACAAACAGACAGACAATCAGACGAGCTTTCGTAAAGCGCATAACTAAAACGGCCCAAATTCCTTCACGGGGACTTCTTCATGAAGGCGGGCGGAAAGGAAGGCAGGGCGAGGGGGACCTGCAAAACACAACGAAACACAGCACACAGGCAAAACCATCGCCACCCCTCAACCCAACCCCCATCCCCAACCATTCGCACCATCGCACCCACCGCCACCGGCGGACAGGGCAACCCCCACCCCCACCCCCACCCACCCCCACCCCCCCACCGCAGACCCCTCACCCCGCCAGTGCCAGCGCCTTGAGCCAGCCCGCCTCCCCCACAGCCGCCGTAGCCGCCTTGTACGCCGCCACCTGGTCGTACCGGGCGGCGCTGTGGTGTGCCAACACGGACCAGGCGTAGGCCTGACATGATGGTGAAAGGGGGGAGAGGGGATCGATGATGGGGTAGTGGGGGACGGGGTGGGGCGTAAGGGCACATCACCGAGCCTTGGCTGGCGGGGCAGCTGTCCAGGTGGGCTTAAGGATGAGGGAGAAAGAGGGCCCGAGTACTTCACCACGGCACATGATTAGGAGCATCACCAAAGGAGGAGGGACGGGGCGGATGGGGCAGATGGTTGAGTGTTCAGGAGGGGAGCAGCGGGAAAGTTGGGGATGATGCGGCCCTCTTCCAGTGCCTTTCCCCCC